GGGTTACATATATTATGAATAATCATAAAAATAAACCATGAAGAACACTATACAAGATCAAACTGAAGGTGACAAGCTCGGTAACAAATATTATACTATTTTTTGAATATTCAAACTTTTGTTCTGTTAATAAACACGTGGATACTGATATTATAAAATAAAAAGTTAACCATGATGATCTTTCATAAGTAATATTAGAAAAATTTTGTTTGAAATTTTGCGATCGACGTCACGATAAACATCAACATGACGTTAAAGTCCACTTTTGTAATCATACAGTGACTCACTTCTATAAATATATATATTTGTCACACAAATACTTCAACTACAATTATATTACTAATCACATGAAGTCATCTTGCATTAAAGATGATAGTATTATTTTAGCATTATCAAATAAAGAACAAGTATATATAGTCACCTGATGAAATGTCATATTAAGCACAATAAAATCGCACAAAATAATCGTTAAACAAAAATCAATATTACAATAAAGGTATTTATTTATTTATTGTAAAGCACAAAGCTACACAACTGACTATCTGTACTTTGCCTATCGCGGGTATCGAAACGCGATTTTTAGCGTTAAAAGCCCTCAGAATTTCCGCTGAGTCTTGCTTGTTTGTAAGTAAGCATAAAGCTACACAATGGGCTATCTGTGCTCTGCCCATCACGGGTATCGACACCTGGATTCTAGCGTTGTGAGTCCGCAGACATACCGCTGTGCTACTGGGGGCTCCGCTGAGTCACAGGGAGAAAGCCAATCAAAGTACGCTTATAGGTTTTTAATCAACATTATGTCATTTATACTACTCTGTGATAGAACTTATGATGTTATTACCACACACCTACTACATCCAACTGGCATCATAAGACATCATTCTACCCACTGGTGGCACCTTGGTAAACTATTATGTCCATGGTAGCAATATGGTACACTATTACGCCCTCTAGCGGTAACAGGGTTTGTATTTTCTAGAAGTAGACGCTGCTATTGACAGTTATTTAATTTATATTGTATTTTCTGTCTCTAAATACTACTTCTGAGTTGTACTTATTTTGTTTTTTTTCTGTACGTAACATTACCTTGTAATTGACTGTTTTTTGTTTTATTTAGTTTTTTACTTTCCGTCTGTAAACATCGCTATCTTCTAGTCTTTGATTGTATTTTACTTTCCATAAAGTCTAGTCTTGAATAATGTATTACGTAAAATTGCCAATGAATGGTTATAAACTTGCACAGTCAGCATGTAAACACTACTAGTGATTGGTCTTTGACGATTTTTGTTTTGCTTTTTTTTGCACTTGGTTCATCTATTTGCTATGTATAAATACATTCGAATAGTTCGTATTTGACTCGTTTTATAATTTCTACGTTTGAGCATTGCCAAACATAGGTCTCTGGTCTTTCAAATTAAGCTTTCGGTTTTTATACATCTTAGATCAATAAGATTGTGATCTTGGAGGTGATGTGCCTATGTTTTTTCTTTAAAAAAGTTTTAATATATTGAATTTTAGTATATCACAAAAATAACTATTTGTCTCAATTAATTAATAAAACACTTCTATGACAGTTAATAACTTTTACACTATTCATAAAAAACAATAAAAAGTTAGTTTACAGAGCTTAGAATTAAAACAGCACTGGCAGTCGTTAGGACAAATATTTCATATAAAACTAAGACTGTGTCTAAAAACTTTAGCATGCAAAAACAAATGTTGAGACGTTTGTTCTTCAGAAGAACAATAAACTGGGGCAAACTGTATTTCAGTTTCATTCATCTGTAATGTCTCCTTGAAAGAAAAACTGATTCAGTGTAAAGACTTTTATAATATAATATCACTAAAATGTCAATAGTTTGGAGAGCAGTCGTGTTTAAAAAGAAATCAAAATTGTACAACAGCAATTTAAAAAAAATCAAATCCTTGAGGCTACTTAGGCCTGTTTTTCTTGTAACTAAACTAGTGGTCACTGGGTAGCCGATTGAGCATGTAAAGCTTAGATGTATGTGTAGTAGCCTGCCATGTCTAGGCGGTTAAGACGCTCGACTCGCAATATGCAGGTCGCGGGTTCGAATCTTCATCATCGAGTATGATCGCCTTTTCAGTCGTGTGGGCGTTATAATGTGATAGTTAATCCCCCCCCCCCCATTTGTTGATAAAAGAGTTGGTGATGGGAGCTATATTCCCTGTAGTATTGTTGCGTATCTACTTGTTTGTTAATTTCCGGTAAAAATTCTTTCTGAGTGACTTAAGCGATACAAGTCCATTCTTGATTAAAACTAGTTTATTCTTTCTCGATACAACTTTGTAATACACAAAATTTCCACAGTCATTTTAAACTTAATAACCTTTACAACACACGCTATAAATCACAGTGATTCACACAATTTACTTACAGTGTTTACTGTTCGCTTGACTCAATTATCTACCTCTTTGATCCCGCTGCTTTTTCTCGCCAGGCTTATATATTAAAAAAAGAGGGCATCTATATCAGACTAGAGTTGCCGAGCAAATTTATGATCCTTCGAGAAACTCCAGCGCGCATGCTCCCAGCGTCGCGTGACTTCCGCTGTCGTAACAGTATATCACTGCTAAATTAGGGACTGCTAAAATAGATACTCCTCGAATAACTTTGAGCGAAAACCAAGCCAAGATAAAGTGTGTGTGAAATTAACTTTATTTATAGTACCTGTTAAAAGAAATCACTGTTTATTGTGTGTTTGCTACATTTATCTCTATTTACGCCATGTCTTGCTCACGAATATAATAGTGCATTGTTGATAAACCAAATCTGTTACATTATCTACACATATGATAGCTCATTTTCCTGGGCTTGAATTGTTATCTATTTAAAATAAGCTTAGGTGTGTTGAAATTGTGAACTAATATTTTATCAAAAGCTTCGTGATTTTTGTATTAGTTATGAACAAACTCATACTAGTGAAGGTTGTCTTTAATCATCAGGTCAATTTTCTGAAACATCTATAATAATTAACACAGTCGAGGTGGATTGATATACAAGAAATCATATTTTAACAACTATTAAAGTCCTATAAAATTGCAAACATCAAACCTTATTGTTTTTTTAAATTGTAACATTTGTAAACTATTAGTATATTTGTAGACTAGTGGCCAGAAGAAAACTAAAACAGAAGAAATGACAGACGTCACTGCAGAATGTCAAAATCCAACAGCACAAAAAACAGGTATGGTAAAACAAAACAATGTCTGTCTATATTTCATATTGTATTTGTTTAACCATAGTAAAACTCAAAAGTACTAGCTAGACTTTAGTTGATGAGTGTAAGTGCTGTAAAGACGGGGTATTTTTTTTTTCTTACTGTGCATTGGGGATAAGCAAAGTAAATTTAGACGGATTCAATATCTTTAGGTCAGTCATAAAAGTCGTTATATTTACTATAATAAAATATTTATTTCAATTTTTTAGGTAGGTTTAGGCAGTGCATTTTGAATAACACCCTTTTTTTGATTGTAGATGACGTTTCGTTTTCCTCAGAGAGTCATTTAGTGTGATAGAGAACAAAAAACAATCTTATTATTAAGAACTCACTGGTTTTTTTTTCAGTTCTTGTCTCGCTGTAACATATAACAAAACTGAAACTAAACATATTTAGTCATTGTAAACAAGTTACAAATCCATAAATTCAAAGACTGATATTAAAGTCCTTTAAATTATAAAGCAATTTGTGTTTCTCCATTTACCCGGCCAGGTGGTTTGGGCGCTTGACTCGCAATCTCAGTGTCGAGGGTTCGAATCCCAGTCCCACGAAACATGCTCGCCCTTTCAGCCGTGGGGTGTTGTAATGTGACAGTTAAAATTCATGGACATGGCTTGAATAGGAATAAAACATAAAATTGTCAAAATTAAATAATCAAGAAGAATAAAATTTATAGTAGTACAGGAGGGAGGAAGAAGTCGAAATAGAACCTGACACTCCCAGGTCTCCAAGACCTAAATCCCGATGCAATGACGTTACGAAACTTTTCAAATTTCCTTAACTCCGACCACCACTGCTGACGAATGACACAAGTGTACGCCCTCTCGCCATCCCCATTTATGCAATAAAATAAATACCGGGCTTGACAAGAATGCCTTTGTTGACCATAATAGAAATTTTACGTAATTAAAATCACGGTCACATATTATAAATATGTACTTATTTTTTCTTATTTGATCATGGGAGAAAAGCTTTAGATGTTTTAATTTAATTTTGTTTTTGTTTTTTTAAATGTAAGTACCTAATACTTCTAATACTCTGTTCTAATATTTTAAATAATACTGTGTATAATACTGTGTAAAAAAAAAAACTTTTCTGAAATTATTTACTTTAATCTTAGGAAATAAAGCTCGTAAACTAGGTCTAGCGGTTTTGAAAAATTTAAAAATAATACTAACGTTTCTCCCCTTTCATAAAAATAAAAGAAAATTATGAGCAGGTGACAAGAAATTCCAAAGACAATCAAGATCCGCTAGAGCTTTACGATTTAGAAATAACAGAAACTGCACGAGGTTCAGAATCTCTTGAGACTGATTTCGGGGAAACATACGGTTCAGGAGATATTCAAGATTCGCCGGGTTCTTTTGAAGTTGACCACAAGCAATTAATTGAAGACGGTTCCTTTGAAGAAATTGAATTAGAAGCCAAAGGAAAGAGAAGAGATATTCGGAAAGGTGTTTCGCCTGTGTTACAGAACTCTTCTACCAGTGAACAGGAACAGGTCATTTTTTCCACTTGTTAAATTTTATCTCTAATAATATAGAAACATAACCGTTTTGTAAAATATAATATGCATATTTAAGATGACGTTGACTTACGTTAATATACAATATTTACTGATATTAAAACAAGAAGAGAGTGTGTGTGTGTTTTCAAATTAAAACTCCTGAAATAATAATTCTCGAGAAAACCATTTTCATGTTTGATTGTTTTATGGCCTTTGCTGTTTTTTCACAGAATGTCAAATGCTAACAAAACTACCTCATTACGCCATATATGATACTAGAGAGAGTTTTATATTTTAGACTGGACTGTCTATGTGAATTTATAAGAGACAAAACTCCATAATATAACAACAGTTCAACTTCTTTCGAGATAATTTAGAATTATTATCAGTCTTAAACGTGCCATAATTCAAGTGGCTTTCCCAGTTTCTGCCTTCTGGGTTTTTCATCTTCAAACAGTTTTAAAAAATTAGATCTGATTTACGTTTCTCCATTAGAAAGGTGGTTAATAAGTAGCGAGAAGCTATAGATCCATTAAAAGGGTGGTTGATAAGTAGCGAGAAGCTATAGATCCATTAGAAAGGTGGTTGATAAGTAGCGAGAAGCTATAGATCCATTAGAAAGGTGGTTGATAAGTAGCGAGAAGTTATAGATCCATTAGAAAGGTGGTTAATAAGTAGCGAGAAGCTATAGATCCATTAGAAAGGTGGTTGATAAGTAGCGAGAAGCTATAGATCCATTAGAAAGGTGGTTGATAGGTAGCGAGAAGTTATAGATCCATTAGAAAGGTGGTTGATAAGTAGAGAGAAGCTATAGATCCATTAGAAGGGTGGTTGATAAGTAGAGAGAAGCTATAGATCCATTAGAAAGGTGGTTGATAAGTAGTGAGAAGCTATAGATCCATTAGAAAGGTGGTTAATAAGTAGCGAGAAGCTATAGATCCATTAGAAAGGTGGTTGATAAGTAGCGAGAAGCTATAGATCCATTAGAAAGGTGGTTGATAAGTAGCGAGAAGTTATAGATCCAATTAATAGGAGAGTAAGGAATTGCTAATTAGCAATGACGGTTTGGGCACTTTTTGTTTCCTCGAATCTTTTTTCTCTCTATGGTATAGTTCCTTTTGCAATGGCAATTAAACTTTGAATCTGTGTCTTTTATCATAATTTTTTTTCCTTGGCTTGCATTTTGCATGACAAATAAAATTTCCATATTTTTTAAGTTACACATTTATTATGTTTAATATTGAATGATCTGCTCTTTTCTTACAGCCATATAATGAGACTAATTCGGAGATAGTTCCCAGTGTTTTGAAAAGAAAGATTGCTGTATCTGGTGCTTTTCTCATCATAACTTTGTTTACTATAAACTGTAACCAGCTGAAGTTTGCGATAGACGTTGGATCAACATATGAGTACTACTCCGTTGTAGTTAGCCTGTTAGTAGTTTCAATGACTCTTCAGGTTTGTTCATCGCATTTTTGACGTGTCGTGATATTTATTTTGTCAGACTCTTAACGTTTATATATAATAATCTGTTGTTTTTCTGATTAATGTTGTACTGACAATATGTTTTAAAGGTTTTATAATGTAAAACTGACATTCTCGTTAAAGTCAGCAGCCAAAAATTCTGATTCTTCACATTTTGTACTGTACGGTTGACATACTGATTGGTAATCATGAAGTCACTGTGTCGTAATTGACGTAATAATCAAAGTTTGACAACCAGTTTTTTTTTTATTTGTTTCTTTGGGTGTTTCTATTTTAATGTCGACTTAGTCAGCAAAGCCGCCAATTTCTAAGGTCCTTTCGCTTGTAATTTTAACACGCTGATTAAAAGTATTTTTAGCTAATGGCTTTGTGCTTTAAGGTTTGTCTATTCTATATTGTAGATATGGTAATCATTAATTATATTAGGTATAAGGCATTAGTGTTTAATTTATGATATCTATATAAATAAAATTGTACTGTCTGTTGTACGTCCATATAACTAGTTCGCAGTGTGTGGATGGATATTCACCAAAGTTGGTATGGAGGTTCATTAGGTCCATGCGGGAGTATATACACATTTTTAGTTTTGTGGTTTGTATGAGCGTTTTTGTGTTGTTGTTGTTTTTTTGTTTACCACAACTTCACCTCCTGTGGATGGATCTTCAAATTTGGCATGAAGGTTTGTTGAGCCCATGCGGAGATACATACATTTTGTGTTTTGCAGTTTTTATGGACATTTTTGCACTTTTTACAATTACGTATAAGGAAAGCAACTTTTCTTGTCCTAAGATAACCTTTCATTAATCATAAATTACAAAATTCTCATCCATGGGACGGGTACTTCAGCTGGTTTTTAATAATACTTGTAATATATTACAAATATAATTGATTATAATCATGCTTCACTAACATTGGCCTCTCAGTGGCACTGCGGACTTATAACGCTAGAAACCGAGTTTCGATACCCGTGGTGGGCAGAGCACAGATAGCCCTTTGTGTAGCTTAGTGCTTAACTACAAACAAACAAACACTAACATTGAAAAGGCGTTCACACCATAAGAATTATTGTTCTAATAAATATCTTATGTAAATACTGTTCCAATCACTTCTGTTTATGTTTGTTGTGTTCCAGTCGATCTGATGAATGCTGTATTGAGTGTATTGTGCACTCTTCTTCATCTTTGTGAAAAATCCTAAAGGGTTGAATAAAGAATGTGGTGTTAAAAACATAATAGGCTTACTGACAAGTATGATTAATTATAATCAACCTTCGCCAGTTTAGAAGAGACGTTCACTCCATAACAGTTATGCTGATCATTATCAGTTATAGTATATATTTTATTTGTATGTTAGTTTACTGACAAGTATAATTAATTATAATCATCCTTCGCCAGCTTAGAAGAGACGTTCACTCCATAACAGTTATGCTGATCATTATCAGTTGTGGTAGATTTTTTATTTGTATGTTAGTTTACTGACAAGTATAATTAATTATAATCATCCTTTGCCAGCTTAGAAGAGACGTTCACTCCATAACTGTTATGCTGATCATTATCAGTTGTAGTAGATTTTTTATCTGTATGTTAGTTTACTGACAAGTATAATTAATTATAATCATCCTTCGCCAGCTTAGAAGAGACGTTCACTCCATAACGGTTATGCTGATCATTATCAGTTGTAGTAGATCTTTTATTTGTATGTTAGTTTACTGACAAGTATAATTAATTATAATCATCCTTCGCCAGTTTAGAAGAGACGTTCACTCCATAACAGTTATGCTGATCATTATCAGTTATAGTATTGTTGCGTCAGCGAGTCACATGACTGGTGTGGCGCCACCTATTTTCTAGAACTATCCTGTACCTTGGCGAATGCTCTAGTATTTACTAGATATAGGGTAGTCTAGTATATAAAAGAGGGTGACAACGTGACGGGAGAATAATGTGTGTGTAGATAGCGAGTAATTGAACTGCAGTCAGAAGTATTGTTGACGTTCGTTGATATAGCGTTTGTTTTAGCGCGAATATTGAAATTAAGTGTATCGTAAAGTTGTATTCGGAAAGAATAAACCAGTTTTATTAAGTAAGGACTTGTGTCGCTAACGTTTCGTCGGAACGAAGTTACGGAAAATCAATTAACAAACGGAGACGTAACAAATTGGTGTCAGAGAGTGGGACAAAAAAAA